GCACGTGTCCTGGGGGTGTGTGCTGGGACTGACCTCTGACCTCTGACCCTGAGGAGGTGACTCGGACAGGTCACGGCTGAGGATAACTGTCTGGCGGTCAGCGTCCAGGCACCTCTTACCGCTGCCAGGGCTCCGGGCTGGGTGCCAGGGCGAGGGGCCCCTGGGCGGTGGGAGGTGCAGAGATCTGGATGCGGCTGATGTGGGTGCAGGCAGGGGGGGCTTCTCCACACGGCCGGGCCATCCTGGTCACGGTCTGTCACCCAGACCTCCACTCACACGTCCAGTGCTGTTTCTGCCTCATCCCCCCCCCCCCCCCCGCCTCCTCTCTAATTTGGGAAGCAGTTCTCTTAGCAACCAAGTCCCCGGCTTCCTCGCCGCCCCGCAGACCGCGGGCGGTGGAGCTGGCCCCTGGTGCCCGTTAGTGCTCAGGGTGACCCTGCCCCTGCCCTGCCCAGGCGTCTGCCCATCAGCGTGTAACGGGGATAGCTCTCTGGCCGCCCTCCCTCCCTCCCTCTCTTCCGGTTCCCCTCCCTCCCTCCCTCTCTCCCAGCCCCCCTCCCTCCCCCCTTCCCCCTCCCTCCTTCCCTTCCTCCCTCTCTCCCAGCTCCCCTCCGCCCTCCCCCCTCCCTCACTCCCTCCCTCCTGACCCCCCTCCCAACTCCCCTCCCTCCCTCTCGGCCCCCTCCCTCCCTCCGGGTCTGCCGGGAGATGCTAACGTGACCGTGCGGACTCACTAAGCCGCTGCAGGAACCGGGCGCGCGGCCCGTCTAATTGTCTCCTCTCCCTTTAAGGGGGCTCTGATTTCTCGGGGGACGCCGGGGCTGAGCGGGGAGGAGCGGCTGGTGGCTGCGTCCTTTGAAGGGAAATCTGGGTCACGGCAGACTCCGGGGCTGCCCGGAGCGGGTCCGCGTGAGGCTCCGGAGGGTGTGTTAGCCTCGGGCTCGCGCCGGCCCTTTAAGAGGGAACTTGGCTTTTTCTAGGAAAATAAATCAGGAAAGCCCCAGAGCCGGTCGAGTTAGCGGGAGGGCGCGGGAGCCGGAGTGGATCCGCGCCTCCCGGCAGGTGCGAGGATGCCCGGCCCGCGCCCCCGCCCCCGGCCGCGGGCCACGGAGGCGGACGGGGGCGCTCCGGTGCCGGGCGCGGGCAGGGGCCGCCGGGCTTGAGGCTCCGCTGACGGGCATGGGGGGGGCTCCCGCACCGGCGCGCCGGGGCTGGCATGCCCGCCGATGCCCGCAGGCTCGCCGCGCCCCGCCGCCCAGGGGCCCGGCCGCCCCGCTCGCCTGTCCCCCCGCCGGGAGGCTTATGTAAGGAGCGGCGGGCGGTCCAGCCGGAGGGAAGATGAAGTCTTTGTTAAATGCCTTCAGCAAGAGGGAAGGTAAGAGCCGGGCGTGCGGTGCCGGTGGGGGGGGGGGCGGGGGCCCGGCTCCTCCGGGAACGGCAGGTCCTGCACCCCCTGTGAGGGTGAGGGTGAGGGTGAGGGCGGGACCGCACCGCTGGGCGCTCTGTCCCGGGTCCGGTGTGGGGACCCCGGACCTGCTGTCAGTGTCTTTGTCCCCGAGTCCCGTCCCGGGCAGGACCGCATTCCACAGCGAGCGCCCGGAGCCCGGCGCCCGGAGACCGGAGACCGGAGACCGGAGACCGGCGCCCGGAGACCGGCGCCCGGAGACCGGAGACCGGAGACCGGAGACCGGAGACCGGCGCCCGGAGACCGGAGACCGGAGACCGGAGCCCGGAGCCCGGCGCCCGGAGACCGGAGACCGGAGACCGAGACCGGAGACCGGCGCCCGGAGACCGGCGCCCGGAGACCGGAGACCGGAGACCGGAGACCGGCGCCGGAGACCGGAGACCGGAGCCGGCGCACCGGAGACCCGGAGCCCGGCGCCCGGAGACCGGAGACCGGAGACCTTCGCCCGGAGACCGGAGACCTGCGCCGGACCGGAGACCGGACCGACGCGGAGCCCGGCCGGAGACCGGCGCCCGGAGACCGGAGACCGGCGCCCGGAGACCGGCGCCCGGAGACCGGAGACCGGCGCCCGGAGACCGGCGCCCGGAGACCGGCGCCCGGGGACCGGAGACCGCGCCCGGAGACCGGCCGGGGCGTGGGGGGAGTTCCAGGGGACCGGGGAAGTTTGGGCTCCGCTGCCCGCTGCCCAGTGAGCCGGGACGGGGAGGTCAGGACGCGCTGGGCACGCGGCTCCCGGAGCGGCGGGGGCGGGGGCGGGGCGCCTCGCGGGGACTGGGAAAGTGTCATTTCTCTGGGGACAGACGGTGTCACAAGTGCCGGGAGGCGAGGGAAGCCCCACGGGGAGAGTTCGCGGGTCACGGGGAGAAGGGAGAGGCGGGGGATGGGAGTCGCTGCCAGGTGGGGAAGCAGGTGTTTTTAGCCCTTTTCTCACACATGCACACACGCAAGTACATGCACACACATGTGCACACACATGTGCACGCACGTGCGCGCGTGCACACACACACAAACACACACACACACACACACACGCACGCCCTCCGGGAGCCTGTCAGCGGAGAGGCTCGGGCTGGGCCGGCTGGTGGAGATCGGGGTGCTCCGGGGGGATTGGGGAGGGGCCCCCGCCCCGGCTGTGACAGACGCGGGGACAGAAGCTGGTGCCCTGGGTCTCGGTGCCCCAGCAAGGGGCTCCCTCCCGCCATCCACGCCATCCGTGTGCGCGTGCTGCTCAGTGACTGCCTGGGTGCCCGCAGGACCCCCTGAGAATGCCCTGCGCCCCCCCGCCCCTCCCGGGTCCCTCCCCTCCGGGTCCCCACTGCTCCCTCGGCTGGCCCGCAGCCTGTGCCTGGGAGTCAGCGGCAGCACAGCCTGTGTCTGCTCGTTTCCTGACGAGCAACCAGGCCCTTTCTGTGTCTCCCTGTTTGTGACCCGCCCAGCGGGGGGACCTGTTACTTGTTTATTTATTCCATTGATGTCAGGGAGAGAGGGAGAAAGAGAAACATTCCTGAGGAGAGAATCAGGGACCTGCTGCCTCCTGCACGCCCCCCACTGGGACTGAGCCTGCCCCCAGGGCCTGTGCCCTGACTGGGAATCGAACCGGGACCTCCTGGTTCACAGGATGACCCTCAACCCTGAGCCACGCCGGCCGGGTTAGTGCGGGGCCTCTGCTCCGGGAGGCTGGTGTGAGGTGTCTCTGGTCTGCGCCCTTATTTCATAGCCGCCTCTCCCCTCTGAGTCTCCGAGCGCCAGCAGGCACACCCCGTCCCGCCCCCTTCTGGAGGGGCCTTAAACTGCCTGGAGCTGTCAGTCCAGGAGCAGACGTGACTGCCCAGGAGCCGGGAGCTGGGGTCCCTCCCCACATGGGCATGAGCCCTGCCGCTCTGGCCAGGAGGCCTCGGGGGCTGGGGTTCCCTGGCCGCTTTCTCCCGCTCTGCCCTCCCATGGGAGGTGCCGGCTCCGGCTGTGGCCTCCGGTCCGCAGACCTGTGCCGGGTCAGCCTCACCACCCACAGCCCACGCCCTCCACCCGCACCAGCAATCCCTCCCGCCCGCTGCCCGGAGATGGGGACGCCGTGTGTCCACCCTGGAGACCGGCTCGGGGCCCCCAACGGGACTGGCCAGTCGTGGGAAAGGCCTTGGCTGGCGCCTGGGGCCTGGGCCAGGGCCGCCTCCGGGGCAGCGGCCCCAAGTCCTGTGCGGAGGAGCCGCGAGGATGAGGTTCCGGCAGGGAGCCCAGCCCCCTCCTCACCCCTCAGCGGGCGTCCCTCCGGCTGACCTCCACGTGCCCTCCCAGGCTCATGGCTGCTCCGGGGCGCAATTTCAGTCCGTGGGACCTCAGGAAAGCCCTGACCCCGTGCCCCCAGGGCCTCACCTCTGCTCCCCAGGCGGCCCTGCACCCGGCAGGTGGCGAGGGTGCGGACCCACAGTGGTCTCTGCGGCGTCCGGTGGGCGGGCTGGCAGCAGGGAGGACGGCCCTCCGCGGCCTCTGCCGGGGCAGCCGGTGGGAGGCCATCCAGGACTCTGTCCTAAGCCCCGGGAGCCGCTCTCCCGGGGAGATGGGAGAGCCCCGTGCCCGCCGTGGGAGTGCGCCGGGCCCAGCCCGGAGGCGTGTGGGGCGGGAGAGCTGTCCGGGCGTCGAGCGCGAGGGAAGCCGCGTCGCTTGCGGCCGGTTCACTGGCGTCTTACTCCCCCTCCCCGCCCCTCCTCGCCACCCTGGACGGCTGTTCTTTAGCCACCTCTTCCTGTTTCCCCTCCGGCCCTGGCACCCCCACCCCCAAATCCCAGTGCCCGCTGAGTCCCTGGCCCTGAGGGCGCCCTCTGGTCTGAGCTCAGTGGAAGTCGGGGTGAGGACACCCCCTCCCTCCATGCTCCGGAGGCCCCATCTGTGGCGGAGGGGGGAGTGCGCTGGGGGTTGGGGCCGGTGAATTCTAGCCGGTAGGTGTGAGGCTGTGTCAGTGTCCGGGGCCACGAGATCAGTGTCCCCCAGAAAGTGCCCGTCCCGGGGGCCGGAGCCCCAGACCCAGTCGCTCCTCCGGGCCTCCCTCCTGGGCGTGTGGGCGCCGTTTCCTCCCCAGTCCCCGGGGTCCCTCTGTGGGTGTCTGTCCGTCCGACCCCCTCTCCTCCTGAGGACCCGGCCTCAATGGATCAGGGCCCGTGACCTCACGTGACCCCTGTCACCCGTTTAAAACCCGGCTCCAGGTGGGGTCCCGCTCTGAGCTCTGGGGTTCGGGCTCCCGTACCCGGCTATTGGGGACCCTCAGCCCATCCCAGGCCACATGTGGGTCTCGCAGGAGGGGCTGTGGCTGCTCGTGTCCTGGCCACGTGGTGAGACGGCCACGTGCTCACACGTGTGTGCGCTGCTTCCGAGACGCTGGCCACATGGAAGCCGGACCCACGTCCCTTCCACTGCCGCCGAGCTGGCGCCTCCCGCCCGTGCTTCCGTGTCTCCGTCTGTCCAGGTCCCGGGGCGCCCTGCACCCGGCTCGCGTGCGCCCCCCGGAGGCCGCGCCGGTGCTCACGGCCCTATCTCCCCGCAGTGCCCTTCCGCGAGGCCCCGGCCTACACCAACCGCCGGCGCCGGCCCCCCAGCTCGCTGGCCGCCCCCCGCGTGCTGCTGCGCTCCAACAGCGACAACAACCTCACCGCCAACGCGCCCGCCTGGGCCGCCGGGCCCGCCCAGCGCAGCCTCTCCCCGCAGCCGCTGCAGCCCGCGCCCGGCCCGGCCGACGCCCCGCGGGCCGTGGGCAGCTACGTGCCCGGGCCCCGCAGCCGCTCCCCGTCGCTGCACAGGCTCGGTGGCGCTGGCGAGGATGGCAAGAGGCCCCTGCAGCCCTGGCCCGCGGGGTAAGGAGGGGCGGGCAGAGGGGGCCGTCTGGGACCCTGGGGTGCAGGTGGCCCTGCTGGGCCGGGACTTGGGGGTGCGGGCGGCCGGGGGTGCGGGCGGCTGGGCCTGGGACCCTGGGGTGTGGGTGACTGGGCCAGGACTCAGAGGGGTGCAGGGGGCCGGTCTGGGACCCGGGGTGCGGGCGTCCTGGAAGGGACTCTGGGTGTGGACGTTGGTCTGGGACCTGGGCTCACGGTGCCTGGCTTGTCCCACCCCCCCAGGTCGGACTGTCCCCGGAGAGCGGGGGCCGGGCACTGACTGGGCCCGCGGGTGCCGCTCGGGGTGAGCGGGGAGGAGCCCGGAGCGCCGGGGCGCGGGCCTCGCGCAGGCGCCGCTCCTGGCAGAACCACGGGGTTTGTCCCTCTGCGTCTGCCGACTCACTCGGCGTAAGGCCCTCGAGGCCGCTCCACCGGGAGCAGGTGCCAGAAGGCCCTTCCTCGTGAAGGCCGCGTGACAGTCCGCGTGGACGGACCACGTGCTGTGCTCCGCCCTCCGTCCATGGACACGCGGCTGCTCCCACGTCGTGGCTGCTGTGAACGTGGGTGCGAGCGGCCTGTGTGGGTCCCTGCTCACCCCCATGGGGACACACCGGGGGTCCTGGATCTGCTTCCGTCTTTGAGGCTCGAATGCCGCCCAGGCATTCCATGTCTTTCGCCCCAGCCAGAACCCGGGGCGGGGGTGGGAACGGGCGTCTGGGACGGGCTGGCTGCAGGTCTGCGTGTGCCCTGTCCCGTCACCAGCCGCGACCCCCTCCGCCCTCCAGGCCGGCCTTCCCGCCCGGGGCCCACAAGGACGCGCCCTCCGCCGCCCAGCACCCGGGGCCCAAGCGGAAGCTGTACAGCGCGGTGCCCGGGAGGCTCTTCGTCGTCGTCAAGCCGTACCAACCCCAGGCCGACGGCGAGATCCCCCTCCACCGGGGCGACAGGGTCAAAGGTCAGTGTCCCGGCCGGCCTCTGCTTCTGGGACGGGGCCAAAGGGAGCGGCGTGAGGCTCCCCGCCGTTCTCGGGGCGCAGCTCCCGTGTCCCTGCTGTGTTAGGGGTACAACGCATACTGGGAATGAGACTCCACTGCAGAGAGCGGGGCGGGCATGCCCAGGGGTCGAGGGAAACCTGGCGGCCTCTCAGAGAAGCACAGGGCGCTGGGCCAGAGCCAGCCGCCGACCTGCTGACCCCCAGGCCTGGCCGCCAACCTGCTGACCCCCCCAGGCCTGGCCGCCAACCTGCTGACCCCAGGCCTGGCCGCCAACCTGCTGACCTCCCCCAGGCCTGGCCGCCAACCTGCTGACCCCAGGCCTGACCGCTGACCTGCTGACCCCCCCCAGGCCTGGCCGCCAACCTGCTGACCCCAGGCCTGACCGCCGACCTGACCCCCCCAGGCCTGGCCGCCAACCTGCTGACCCCCCCAGGCCTGGCCGCCGACCTGCTGACCCCCCCAGGCCTGGCCGCCGACCTGCTGACCCCCCCCAGGCCTGGCCGCCAACCTGCTGACCCCCCAGGCCTGGCCGCCAACCTGCTGACCCCCCCAGGCCTGGCCGCCAACCTGCTGACCCCAGGCCTGGCTGTCACCAGCCCCCACATCCAGTAACCCAGGCCCTCCCAGCCCGGCCCCTCCCCTTGACGCTGTCCTGTCCTGTCTCCAGTCCTGAGCATCGGCGAAGGCGGCTTCTGGGAAGGCAGCGCCCGCGGCCACATCGGGTGGTTCCCGGCGGAGTGCGTGGAGGAGGTGCAGGGCCGGCCCCGGGACAGCCAGGCAGGTGAGGCGCCTCGGCGGGCGGGCGGCCAGCGGTCCGAGGGCGGAGGGTGCGAGGTGTGTGCGGGGGCGGCGGGTGTGGGAGGAGCCGAGCTCAGAACAAGGATCCCACAGGCGGGTGCGAGAGCAGTGCCGGGCCGGCGTGGAGCGTGTCCCGGAGGCTGCTCGGGGGCCGTGCCCGGGACCTGCCTGTGCCCCTTGCGAACAGGCGTCCACGTCTCTATGGAAACCGCTCAAAGCGCGGGGTTCTCAGAGGAAGCGGTGCCCGGCTACAGGGCTCCCGAGGGGGCCCCCGCTGGAACCTTGCAAAGCTGGGGCCGAGGGTCTAATCGACGGAGCGGCTGAGAGGGGTCCCCTGCCTGGCGGTGCTGAGCGGAGCCTGGGAGCCGGGAAGGCGGAGCGGGTCCTGTCAGAGCCGCCGGGCCTGGCCGCCCGGGCTTGGCTGGGAGCCGGCTCAGCGCGGGCGTCCGGGGGTCACACTCGCCTCGGGCGATGGCTCCGCTGGGCCCCCCGTGCAGCCTGCTGGCCCTGGCTGGCTGGAGCAGGTCCCGAAAGGGCGGGAGTCGGCATCCACCGGGAAGGCGGCTCCCGGTGCGCAGGCGGAGGAGGTGCCTGCTCAGGATCACGGGCGGGAAGTCGTCGGTTTTGCGTTTCTGGGCCTGAGAGACGGTGAGCCCCGCTTCACAGCAACTCCCCTCCGTGCACGGCCGGTCCTGCGGGAAACGCCCGTCAGTCACGCCTGCCCCTCCCCAGGCGCCTGGCGTCCGCCTCTCCGCCCGGCCGCTCCCACGGGACAGGGTGCGCGTCCGGGGCCGGGGGTTCGTGGGGAGGAGGCCCCGCCGTGCCCTGCGCAGGAGGTCGGAGGGCCGCCCTGTGTGGCTGCCAAAAGCGGCAGCGGAGGGAGCGTGAGTGGGGGGCCCGCTGCCGGACAAGCCCACGGCCTGGTGGCTGCGCCGTCTGCGTTTCCTGCCGCCCGTGCCCATGGGCAGCGGCCAGCTGCTTCTCTCCACGCGGTGACTCAGGCCAGGCCGCCCTTCTCGCCCGGAGCCTCTGTCTCTCACCCCGCTGCCCGGCCACAGGCCGGCCGGCCGCCCTCGGAGGTGAAGGCCCAGCCTCTGCCCGCTGCTCAGCCAGAGCCCGCACGGGGCTAGGGGGTAGGGGTGCGTCTGCCCGGCGGGTGTGGGGTGTGGGGACCGCCTCGGAGAGTCAGGGCCGAGGCCCCAGAGGGCGGGGAGGCCCAGCGAGGAGGCCGCGGCCAGGACTGCCTCCACTCAGCTCGACCAGGCCACTGGCAGCGTCCGCCACGTGCCGGGGGTCTGGTGGCACCCTCAGCGAGCACAAGGCCCGTCGTCACGTGGCTCGCGCCCCTGGGAGCCTTCAGGGAGGCGCGGGCTCCAGAGCAGGGGGTTCTGCATGGTGTGGGCGGGGACTCGGGGTCTGTCTGAGCTTCGTAGGCAGCCACAGGCCGGCCTCGGAGGGGGCTGGTCCCTCAGGAACTGACATCGGGGAGGACTCCGCGTCCGGCCCCCTGGCTGTGTTAACGCCGCCCCTTCCTGCCTTCTCCCGCCGTTTCATTAAAGCACAGGGAGCCTGGCGGCCCAGGGCGCCCCGGTCTCCAAACCGCTGCTTTATGTTTGAAATGCCGCCGCCCCCACCTCCCACGCCGGGCGGCCCCGGAATGGAGTGCTGCCGGGCCGGCCTGCCGTTGCCGGCTCCCCACGGAGCTCCAGGCCTCAGTGACGCTCTGGGACCCAGGCCCCACCGCCCGCCCCTCCCAGCAGCTGGGTGGTCGGCCCTGGTTCCCATGGCAACCCAGTGATGCTGGTGCCAGCCCTTCTCCCCACGGCCCCTCCTGTCTCCACAGGATGTGCGGCTGCGTCCGAGGGCCGCCCTGCACAGCCGCACCGCAGGCCGGACTGCTGGAGGGAAGGGGTGTGAGGAAGGGGGTGTGGCTCAGCCTCGGGGGGTGGGGACCTTCCCACGCCCACCCGGGTGAGTGGTACGGTGGTCTCCCTTGATTAAACACGACCTTCTTGGGGGTTCAAACTACATACGGCGTCCTGGCTAGCGTTGCTCGTGGCTAGAGCATCGGCCTATGGACTGAAGGGACCCAGGTCCAGTTCCGGTCAAGGGCACGTGGCTCAACTGAAAACTTGATCCCTGGCCCTGGTCAGGGCGTGTGCAAGAGGCAGCCAGTGGATGTCTCTCTCTTTCTCTCTGTGTCTCTGTCTCTCCCTTTCACTCTCTCTAAAAACCAATGGGAAACCCCTCGGGTGAGAGTTATAAAAACCGACAGAACGCACAGGCCCGGGGCTCACAGGTGCAGGCGCAGGCCGTGTGGGCAGCGTCTGTCGGGGGCGGCCTCTCGGCTTGTGCCGCCCTGTGACCTCGCTTAACTCCATTATGCCTGGAGGCGGCGTCTCCGGGCAGCCATGCTGGTCTCGAGCTCGCCGTGAGCCTGGGGAGCACATTCCGTCCACGGCCTCGGGAGGAGGCGTGGCCACGGCGGCCCTGCTTCCCTGCCACGCTCTGCGCCGCCTCCCTCCGTCTCCTTCCTGCCACGCAGTCCATCCCGGGGGCGGGGGCACTGGTTGTCTGAGGCGAGGGCAGTGACTGTCCTGTGATGTTCCTGGTCAGGTGTGAGCATTCAGAGCCTCTGGGTCGGCCTCAGGGCCCGGCCACAGAACACCCCCCGGAGTCCGGCCTCTGTGTGAGGTCACAGGCTGGGCCAGAGCCTCACGGCTCCCTGGCTGTGCGGCCTTGGGCACGTGCTCTTGGGGCAGTGGGGGTCGTGAGTCCCAGCAGGGCTGCCATCAGTGGGCAAATCCCTCGTGGAAACTGCCCAGCAGGCCGGTGCTCAGACATGCTCACTGGACGGTGATTCTCGGGCCCCGTCATCCCACACGCCACATCTGCACACACATTCTTCTCCCTGGCCGACGGCTCCCCCTTCAGCCCGGCTCATAGCCTGTCTGCTGGAGCCTTCCCTGGGCCGCTCCCGTCCCCTCCAGGAGGATACCACGTGCTCTGGCGCACCCTGCACCCCACCCCCACCTGATGGCCTGGGGCGTGGGCCCCAAAGATCGCAGCCCCTCCCAGCATCAGCTTCTGGGGGAACTGAGCTCGGAGAGGTGGGTCCCTTCCCCCAGACCACACAGGCCCGTGCCCCCACTAAGTCGGCTGGAGACGGAAGGACACCCCAACTGACCAGGTAGCACTTGGTTTTTGCCCAGGGGCGGGTTGCCCAGGTGACTAAGAGCCATTTTTAAAAAAAATATATATATATTTTATTGATTTTGTACAGAGAGGAAGGGAGAGAGATAGTTAGAATCATCGATGAGAGAGAGTCATCATCGATCAGCTGCCTCTTGCACACCCCCTTCTGGGGATATGCCCGCAACCAAGGTACATGCCCTTGACCGGAATCGAACCCGGGACCTTTCAGTCCCCAAGCCGACGCTCTATCCATTGAGCCAAACCGGTTTCGGCTAAGAGCCATTTTGTTACAGGTAGCGAGATTCCGAGAATCAGAGAGCCACGCCGAGCTGTCCAGTGCTATTAGGACCCCACCCCTAGCACCCCCCAGCCCAGTCAGGAAGCCCCGCCCTCAGGAACCTCCCACAGGGCCCCACATTCCTTTGGCTCCTTCCCTGCACCTGGCCTGTGGTTCCTTCCTCAGCCACTAGATGGCAGCCGCTGGGCACAGAAGCCGGGAGAGGGGCACTGGGGCTGGGCACTAACCCTGAAACCCAGCTCCGAGGAGGGGCCTGGGCAGCACTTCCTCTGAGAGCAGGGCCCAGTTCTCAGCGTCAGTCCTCTGAGCAGGACCGCTGGGCCTGACCCCGGAGCGGGGCCACCAGGAGGCCGGCAGGGATGGGCAGTGACGGGCACGGGGCTGCAGGGCAGGGGACGCAGGGCGGTCCTCCACACACTTCGATCCTCAAGGGAAGCCGGGCACCCCCGTGAGGAAGGCTGCGGCAGATTTTCCATTTGTCCTGGACGCCTCCATGGCCGACATGGGGTGGGAGGCACAGAGAACCCTGCAGCTGGGAGCAGAGTTAGGCCCCACCTCTTAGGAGGCAAGTGGGTTAAAGGCCGGAGAAGGTGCTGGCAGGTGCTCAGTGGACAAGACGGATGGATGGGATGAGGGAGGGTGAGTGAATATATAGGACGGAGGGAGGGTGAATGTATAGGATGAGGGAGGGTGAGTGAATATATAGGATGGAGGGTGGTGAATGTATAGGACGCAGGGTGGGCGGGCCAGTGGGCAGCACTTCCGGGGTTTGAGTGGGTGTGAAGGTCAGAGAGGTTCCTGGTAGGTGTACAGTGAACAATGGATCAGTAGGTGGTTGAGTAGAAAGGGCAATTGGATGGATACATGGATGGATGGATGGACGGACGGACGGACGGACGGACGGATGGATGGACGGACGGACGGACGGATGGATGGATGGATGGATGGATGGATAGGTGCACGGACAGATGGACAGATGATGGATGGGTGGATAGGTGGACGGATGGACGGACGGACGTGTGTGTGGAGGGACTGGGTGGAGGAGTGATGGCCAGGTGAGCAGGGATAGCCGAGGAGCTGCCCCCATGGCATCCCAGGTGAGACCCGCCCGGGGCTGCAGGGCTGTGGGTGCTGGGAGCCCGGGCCTGCCCCTCCCCCGCTGCTGCCAGGCGCCAGCGGCGGCTCCGGGAGGGAGTGCGGCAGGTCCCAGGGACAACGACCCTGTGATGTGAGGTCGAAAACAGCTCTGGTGGCTGATGCTGCCCCAGCCTGTCTGGCCGGGCGGGGGAGGGAGGAGCACCGCCTCAGTCCGGGCCCTGGTGCATTGCGGGGGGAGAAAGGCGGGGGGCTGCATGTATGGCCCCTCTTTTCAAGCACAGGATGGAGGAGCCCCGGAAGGACCGTGTCAATCCTCGAAAGGTTGTCCGGAGGCTCCCAGGACTGGAGGCCCAGCAGGCAGGAATGAGGCCGCTGAGCACAGTGCACTGACA